TCAATGGATTTCCCCAGATGCAAATCACATGATATAAATTGTTCATATGCCAAAAACAAATTTAGTGGCAAAAGCAGTGCACAATGTGTCAATATGGTTGATGCTACATTTCTCTTCCTCACTCAACTGTTGCTCAACTACAAATGGCAAATACAGCAAGAGTACACATTTAAGTTTTCTTACTCCACAAAGGCTACATATCAACTCAACCTTCTCAATATATTTAATCACAGACTGATTGGGTTCTGAGCCATCAAATTCCAGTATCAGCTTGTTGTCTGGCATGCTCAATGATGGCCGAAATAGCCTGTAGCAAACTTTCAGATCAGTTCAGCAAAGTTCTTCTGTACTTGAATTTTAAGCTGGTCAGCACTTTCCTGATTTACCAAATAATGGAACCAAATTCTTGCTCTGTCAACAACAGGGACTAATACAATGTTTTGTAAATTCTGCCAATTTTTCTTTCCTGCTACATACCAATATGTACTTTTTTCAGTCACCCTATTTGGCAAATCTTCGCCTTTTTTATCAATGAATTATTTGCATGCTTGTATCTTTGGTTGAAAACACTGTCCTTCTTGGTACCAATTATTTGTATATGAAGAATAGTAAAGATTATTTAATTGTGTGTAGACAATTATAAAAGTTTTAACAGCGTTCATAAGTCTTTACTGAGAACTTTAACTTACTATAATATACCAAGTCTTTATTTTCTAAGTATTTCTATTAAGATATTTCACAGAAATTTTAGCAATATGGTAGATTATTCAGATAAAATTATGGTGCCACCAATAAAAGTTACCCATTAATTAATGTTTATTGCCAAAACTGTAAAAATTGTAGCTCTGTCACCAGTGATTATGTCACAGATCTGTAAGGATCTATCCATCTTCTTTTCTCACATAATTTATCTGGTGACTTTTCAACAGTTTACTTACAAGCATAAAAGAAAAAATTCAATATTTATATAATGGGTGAAACAAATGTAGATAAATTTTTATTTTTAATCTTTGATTCTTCTTGAAATATATAAATGTGGTTTATTCAGGTTTTTCCAGTTGTTTAAAACATCAATTTTTAAATTTAATAAAGAGTTTTAAATTAAAATGTGCATAACTTCTGGTATAATTAATATAGCTTATTTCTGAAAAGAAAAATGGTTTTACAAACACTTTTTAAGAAAAGCTGTATATTGAAAGTAAATCTAAATTTAGTGCAATGTACACTATTTACATTGTTCAGACTATCATCCTCATCTTTGTTGCCATATTTATCACAACGCTTCAGCCGTTGTACGCTCCGGCTTACTTCAGTTGATTAGAATGTCAAACTGAACCCTTTATTTCACTCACTGGGGTAGACTGTTCTAGTTCCACGTGCCATGTCTAATGGATGTCAGTTATCAGTTATCTCCTGTTAATTCCCCTCGCCAAGTTCTCCACCGCCTTAACCAGGTACTGAACACGCACTCTTTGGCGCCTGTCATTGGATATAACTAACGCCTTTATCCACTGTGCCATGTGTCCTTGAGGACACATGGCACAGTGGATTAACCCATAGAACAGGTAGATTCATAACTTTCCCAAGGGTATCTGCATGTAAGTGAATAATATACATTACTGGAACTGAAACTCAGCTCTCTCCTATACTGTTAGTATAGGTTCATTATGCTTGAACCATTATCTTGTATTTCACATTCTTCTAAAGTAACCATTTTTCATTGTTTATCAAAAATGATTTCCAAAACAGAACATTTAAAAAGGGTTTTTATAGGGTTTTTCTTTTTAACTTAAGTGAAAGTCATGCATTTTAAAGTGATTCCCATAACTAAGCTAGTGCAAATAATTTTCAATGCTTGATTTAGATCTTTTGAGTAGGTTTGCTATCTCTCACATCGTATTATTCCAAGATAATGTCTTGATTTGATTGATATCAACCTCTACTAGATTATGGAACATTGTTCAAAGAAAAAGCTTCACTTTTGATATGTTTGATTATCCACAGTACCTTCTTCATAAATTGCAGAGTTTCTTTTTTCTTGCATTTTACCTTTCTTAAAATAAAAAACAGACTATTGCAAAAAAAAAAAAAAAAAAAATTATATTAATAATTCTTTCTGCAAATTAAAAATGACTTACTAACATTAATATACAAATTATTTTCCATTAGAAAGTTTTTGTTTTAAATTTGAACATAAAATATTTGGTTCATTTTACCATCCATTCACAAAATGTTAATTTGTGTGATTTTGAAATAGTGTTTAAAATATAATGTAAACCCGTGAAAGAAGAAATTAATTGACACTTTTCATTATAAAACTAGAACAAAATAGTTCAATACCTGCTATAAATAAGGTATGATTACTTTCCTTAATATATTTTAAGTTCCACCAACAATCTTTATCAAAAAAAATATATGAAATTTAAAAAAAAAAAAAACTTTTGCAAGAAATTGTCATTTGTTTTGTTTTATGGATAACTGGTGAAATTCTCAATCTAATAAAAGAGACAACAAAAATCATACAGAATATATGAAGTTAAACAAAACCATTAGAACTAAGTAGACACAAGCAAAAAAAGTCCAAAAACTGAAGAACACAAATGTGTCAGATATGCACAAAAAGATAAAAGAAATAACAAGAGGGGAAAACGACAATATATAAAATCACAGAAAGACTTATGAAAATCCTGAGATTAGATCAGCACTGGTCAAGATTAAAAGGAAGAAATCAGAAGAACCAGATTGCTAGGAGTAATATTTGTTTCAGAACAGATTAATTTAACTTTAAATTTGCTAATTTTCCACAAATAATGATTCAGAAAAATTTTATTTTTGCAAGATTTTTAAAACTGAGAATTAACTTCTGTTTACAAATATATTAAAATGGCTGTTTCAATTGTTTTTTCTGAAAAAGAAATGAATCGAGTAAAAACTATTCTAATTTCTCTTTGAAATACACCACAGTATTTTGCTTTCTGGAATTGGAAAATTTAATCCTTTAGCTTTCAAATTAAAGCTGAAATGAAAGTTTCAAGAAATTCATTTAAACCTTAGGTATATTGAACCTTTTGTAATATTAAGAAAAATTAATTTACATGAAAAAGATATTTAAACAATCTATAACATACACTGAAAACAAACAGCTTGCATGCAGATAAAGAACAAGTTAAATGAATACAAAAAAGAACCTATTTTCTCACTAGATTTATTCAATCTGTACTGAAAGATGGTTCTAAAAGGCCTATCAGAATTTATTATCCATAGACATAAATTTAATAACATACAATATGCAGATGATGATGTTTTGATAGCAAGATTAAAAAAAAAATCTGAAAAACTATTAGAAAAGAAAAGTAAGAAGAAAGGACTAACTTAAGAAAATAGAATGTATGGTTATCAGTAAAAGAGATAACCCAAAGTGTGAGATATATATTGGGTACACAAAAGTCAATCAGGTTGAAAGATTTAATTATATAAATATAATATAGTAACACAGGTAACAGAAAATATGAGACAAAAATCTGAAGGTGTTATAAGAATAATGAATGATGCATTTCAGAAACTAAATAAAATATGAAACAATTGAAAAATGCAATGTCTAATGTCCTGTGAATGTTGAGAAGAGACTAAAAGCAACAAAGATGTGGTTTTATCAACAAATATTGAGAATACAATGGGCAGATAAGAAAATAGCAATTACAAAGAAACTGTTGTTAACAATCAGAAAAAGACAACTGAAATTTTGGGAACATATAATGATGAAAGAAGGCTTGGAGAATTTAACCCTCACAAAACACTGACCACAAGAGAAGCAGAGGAAAAGAGTAACCTACTTGAAGAGTTTGAGTAAACAGATTGCAGGACAAGCAACATAAAGACAAAGAGTGATAAAAGAGCAAGAATTACTTAGAACAAAAGTAAAAATAAGAAGTTGTAGAGAGCCAAGATGTAAAAAGATAACTTATTAAATTAAAAATTATTTTAAAGTGGTTAATTTTTTCCTGAAGATTTCTTGCCAAAGCCAACGTTTTGACTGAAACTTTTTATATTTTCCTTGCATAAAAAACAATCTTTTAATATTTCATATTGTCAGTACTTTAATGCTCTTAAATGTTAATAAATTAAAATATGGGATTTAAACTATAATAGCAATTTGCTAATGGAATTTGTAATGTTTATAGTTGTCTGTTATGAACCTGCTATCAAATTTTTAACAATATTTTAAGAATATGAACTACAAAAAACAACTAATAATCAAATTGCTAAGAATATTTTTAATTAATAAGTATTAATGATGGTGCAAAAGGTTTACTGAAAAAAGACTTTAAAAATGAGCACTAAATCTATAAATATATTGTTAATGAAAATTGTTTTTACATTTTTTTTACAAATGAAGTTTTAAAATGCACTCACTAATATGAACCAAAATAAAAAAAAAAACAATTATAATTTAGTATCTTAGTAATGAAAATGAACTACAAAACTTATGGAATCTATAATAATGAATGACTTTTGAAAAAAGAAAAAAACAAATTAAATAAAATAAACAAGAAATCAAAATTTCTTGCTATTATCTGATTATTTTTTATATTGTTTTTCAAACTGAATGTAGAAAATACAATAACACCATTAAACTCTGAATATGAGTGACAAGATAAATTTTACAGTCATAGGATTATCATCCATACACAATAATCCTTAAATAAATATAAAGTTCCCAATATTTCAATTGTTAACCTTTGATATACTTCAGAATGGACTGTAAATGCATTGTTGATATATAACCACAACAATAGAAATTGGTTGCAATAAACTTCCTCTTTGCATATTTATTACAAATAATTATTTTCTTTTTCCTTATCAAAAAAAATACTTTTTTTCTTGCATTGCCTTAGATTTTTTAACTTCATTTATAGATGAGTTTGAAATTCAGATAATTACAAATGACATGCCTAGTAAAACTTGTCATTCTATACATACACACATAAGTTTTTACTCACTTCATGTTCATTGAATTGTTGTTTAACTTTTATAATCCCAGGTGGGTCAGGTCCTACAGCAGATGTACTTGTAATATCCACAACAGGTTCCTGTTTGGCAATGACATCCTCAGCTTCCAAGAGCCAGGCAAGGACATTCTCTAACATGTCCTGGTACGAAAGGAGATCCAAAGAACTGGTGCTCATGATGCTGTGATGACTTGATGTACTTGATGTGCCACTGCTTAATGACATTAATGACTTGGTGACAAAATATGAAAAGAGAAAAAAGAAATAAGTAAGATTTTTACTTACAACTCATTTTAAAAACATCATCTTCTATACTACAACATGCTTAGAAAAAGATAGCATAGACAGTTTTTAGACGCAGCAGTATTGAAAAGCAAAGACTCACATGTACATATAGAGGAATAACTAGTGTAAAGTTCCACAACTAATAAAGTTTCTTAAGATTTTAAATCTTAGAAAGAAGAAAATATTAAAGTATCCTTACTGTTATGATTAATCATACTTTTTAACAAGTTATTTTACTGCAGATACACTTGTGTATATAACTGCTAGAAACAGTATCATAACTAACAATATAAACACAGTCTAAGTTGTGTGACTTGCCAGTCCACCTATCCACCTACAGTCAGCTGCCAACTACAACTAACTAGCGTAAGAAACTAGCATAAGAAACTAGCTTTTTAATTCAGAGTAGAATTTACACATACATACACATATGAAAGAAAGCTAGAATATAGAAGCCTCAAAATAGTCCAGTAGTAATGCCAGGAAGTATAGATAATCTTCAGCCTGTAATATCAGATTTCTTTCCCTCTCTTACTAAGCAGCTTCTCTCTCACTCTCTCTACTAAATAAGCTAAAATAAGTGAGGGAAAAGTCACTAACATTGCTGGGCACAGCACTAAAGGCTAAGTTTTACAAGAGAGCAGAACATTTTTTTTTACAGTCTGATGAATATTAAAAATATAAAAAAGAAATATGCAATAGCATTATCTAATTATTAAGGCTTTCTTTAAAACAAATTGAATGAAAGTATTTTAATTTGGGGATATAAATTATTTCACATTTACAAGATAAAATTTATTTATTTTAAAGAAAAAGATTATTTAAAAAAAAAAAAAATTATTTATTTTACCAGTTTGCAACCATGTGGTTTTATATTAACAAATAGAAAATGTTTTAAAACCTATCCCTTTCAGATCATATCTATTAGAAGTTAAACCAAACAGATTAGTGCCCAGACAGTTATAATAAACCTGTTGAAGATATATTTTCAAAAACAAAAGAATGCATGCTTTATTCACTTTCATATTTATGTAAATTAAGTTGAAAATAATAATTAACTTTTTCCTAACAAATATGCAACATAAAAACTTTTTGATATTTTTTCTAGAAAGCAAACAAAATGGAAGACATTCATAGTTATTTCCTGATCAGTTAACAACTTATTAACAGAGAAGAAAAGGAAATCATTTGAAGAAGGCAAGTCATTTAGTGTCATTTATATTCACACCTAAGACAAATCAAATATCAATTGATCAATCTACCTTAAAGGAACTGGAAGTATAATTTGAGTAACAAGAATTATTACAATAAAAAACAATTTAAAACAAATGAAAGCACAGAATGAGTTAAATCACAGTACAAAGTATAAAATATGCTGTAGAAATATGCAAAATAGTAACCATCCTTATTAAATATTTTAATTCCTTTATCAGAAAGGTTATTATTGATTAAATGTCAAAGACAAAAGCTTTTGATATTTTAACTCATTCAACATTTTTTTCATTTGAAAGGACAGACACTTATAAAAACTGTTACTCTTTTGTTCAAATCTAATATTGTAGGCAAGATACATATTTCATATTTTGCATATATAGCACCCAAAACATTATAATATTTTGCATATATAGCACCCAAAACATTATAATATTTTGCATATATAGCACCCAAAACATTATAATATTTTGCATATATAGCACCCAAACAGATCTGTATAAAATGGTATAAAGGCTTTTCTCAATGAGGTAGATAACAAAATTATTATAAATTGTAACAATGATTGCATTTTTTAATAAAAATTTTAAAAACATTACATTAATTTAAATATCTTCTTTAAAGTTTTAATTTAGATTTTTAATTGCAAAAAAATAAAGTTAGCCATAAAAAATAAACGTTTTTCTGCAGGATTTCAGCTATCTTTAATGTCAATTTTTATCATCCCAAATTAACTTTGAAAAAAAATTAAACTCTGAAATTAAAAATCTTCCAAAAATAAAAGATCCATTATAGAAATATTGGATTTGTTAATTTAATAATTAAACCGGATTATGAAAAATAGTGCTTCTTACTTTAAATATAGTGGAAAATAAATTTGTTTACTGTGGATGTCTGTTATCTGTGAACTCAGTTCAAGTGGATATTGAGTCATTTTTTCTTACCCATGTCTGATGAAAGCTTGCTTAAATTTACAAGAATTTCATGGGACAACTGAAGTTGGGATAATCAAAAATGATAAAACCTGATATTATATTCAGTGGCAAAATTATATTCTCAAGATTAAACACTTTCATATGAATTTGTGTATGTTTATTTGGAGTATGCCTTAAATATTTTGGGGGATTTGATTATTTCAAATACTTTGTCCAATTTTCTGCATAAGCAGTTAGAAAAACAATTCTAAAAGCACTATATGATTACTCCTCTTTTAGTTGCAATCTGTAAAATTCAGTTACATCTACAGCATGTCCTATTCATTTATTTTTGGTTTGCAATGCACTATATTAGAGAATAAGTAACCTAAATTATTTATATGATAAAAAATCTAATTAGATGTAGTACACACAAATCCTATATCAGCTCTCATATTTCCTTGACATAAAGTCTGCTATTTCTCTTACGTGGATCTGTTATTGGAGCTCTTTCTGATTGTAATACTTAGCATAATATAGATTCATGAGCAACATTTATCTTCTAGAGGAATTTTTGTAACTAATACATTTCTACACTGAGAAAGAAAATATACAGTAGATCATAAACAATAATTTATAAAGTTCTTTATTTATGTACAAACTTATATTGTTTTGATATTTTTTCTATTTTGATTTCCATATCTATCATCAGCAATTTACACATTAATTTGAATTTTTTCTTCATATACCTTAACTGTTCATCATCATCCTTTGACCTCCCTATGGTTGGTCAAGAACTCCATTGACAAGCCCTTTCCACATTGTCTGGTCTGAAAGAACTTAACCTTTAATGTGTATTGAAATGGTAAATAACCCTAATGTTTAGAAAAATACTTTTTTTTAAATATCAAAATACTGAAGCTAAAGGATGCAAGTTCAAGTTTCACTAAAATCTCATTCTTTATTTTCAATCAATGCTGCTTATTATTGAGCTCATAGTAGCAATAAAAAGTAACAGAAAGAAATTGAAAGAAATAGTCAGGATTTAATAATAATTAAAAATTCATCATCTAAGAAAATAAAAAATATTTTTTTCTTACAGTTCATTTGAAGTAGGAATATTTAACATTTTAAAAGATGTATACTCATACATCACAATCTCTTTTGAAATTTTGCTTAGAATTCAACATTTTTAATTTTTAAACTTGAATAATAGAGTTAAAATCAAATATTTAGTAAATTATGCCAACAAATTTTTAAAACCTTGTTTAAAAAAAACCAAAAACCTTTTCAAAGTTCAGTTCCTCTAACAATTTTAGAAAAGTAATTAAAGTACTATTAATATTGTGATGGTTGTTTTCAAAAGTAATGTTGTTCAGTGTCACATCTTGTAAAAGAAAGATGAAGGTAGATCAATAATCTTGACAATTATTAGCTAAATTTTGATCTGAAACTTTCACTGTATAATAAATATTTGATCTATGTTATTAATGGTGAATTACTGGGTTCAGTACATTGTTAAGAGAAAAGATTATATTGTAAATATTTGTTGTGCAAAATAAATGCTTTCACATCATTAAACTAAAGATCTATTAAGAAACTTACATCCTATTTCATATATAAATATCAAACTCAATTTATAAATCTTTCTGTTATATAAACTACACTTAAAGGAATTTGAAAAAAAATATGACTGTTTATAATTTAGTTTCTACAGAAATTAATTTACGTTTTTCTTAATATAACTAGAAAATAAACAAAACTTGGAGTTTATAGACTTTAAGAATTAATCAATAAAAAAGCATTGTGATATTTTCCTCTAAAACAGAAGTCTACATTAAGTCTAAAATCAAGAAAGAAGTAGTTGGTTTAATCAACTGTAAAACGTTTATCTACCAGTAAATATATACATAGTAGAATATCTGTAGAGAGCTAAGTGTAGATATCATATTCCAAAGAATAAATAAACAAAAAAGCAAAAAAAAACCCCAGAACACTTAAGCATTATTAACCTGCAGTCAGCCCAGGTAATTAGGTTTCAATAAAATTCATAACATGGGAGTTTATTTGACCTGTAAAGAAAAGAAATATGTAAAACTATGCCTGTACAAGGAAATGCTCTGAGCAAAACCGATTGCCTCTTAACACACAAAATAAAAAAAATAAAAAACTTGAACCAAGTGATTTTAGAAATGAAATAGAGGAATTTGGGAAAACAAAACAAAAAAATCTGTTATAAAAACTGAGCTAGCTCAATTGGTTTGAGAAAAAAGTTTGAATATAAACAGAGTGACACTATTTATAACCTCTGACTATTCAGAATTTTTAAGTACTAATTTGATTGCTACAAAAAAAATTTCTGATCTGGCTTAAAATCAAAATCTCTTCAACCTAAGTAAACAAATAGCAACAAACACGTTCCTCAATCTCTCACCCTGATACAAACTTACAAAGTAAAATAATTTTTGCATTGAATCTGAAACTAGCAGATTATTGTTTTTTTGTTTTAAATATATAACATTCAAAAAATATAAATAATTTTTAAAAATCCAATTTTAAGTTATATAAGTTATAGACAGTTTTAATATAAAACTTTAAAATCATAATTTTTCAGAAAGTCTGAGAATAATTTCCAAGTATAATCTCCAAAAAGTGTCTTCAAGTCTATTATGGAATGTCATAATACTGGTTTAGAAATTGATATTGAAATGTTAGAAAAACTCAGAAACAGAATCTGAATGAGCAAAGAGCAGCTAATTGTGCGACAGTTAAAAGATTTGATTGAAAACAATTGATTAAGAAGCCATTAAGTTAGTAAAATTGATGGAATCATAAAAATAAACAAGAAAAAAAAAAGAAAATATTATGTAAAGTAATAAGCATACTAACTGTAGAGTGGAAAGAAACAAAAAAGAGCTGATAATCTGAGGACCTTATTTTAAGTGAATGAGGATGTTTTGTTTCAGAGTTATGGTTAACAAACTCTTTTCAGGGTGTACCCCACATTTCTAGT